CTCCTACCATTTGCCTTTCTCCTTTAGCCGGGGGGGCTGGTAGCCACTCTTGGTCATGAGGAAGAGAACTCTAGAAGAGTAAGGAGAGAACATGGGGTTCAGATTCCCAATGGGGGTTTGGGGGACCCCCAGTAGCACTGAGGTCAGCAGAGAGCAAGTAGGGGACAGAATAAGAATGAGCCTTAGGTTTTAGGATGCACTGGGCAGCCACTTCTAGGGGACACCTCTTACCACATTATAGAGCTACGGCATTCACAGAGGGAGGCTCAAGAGGGGGATCCCTGAGTTGGGGGTTCCTGGTGTGGAGGGCTGAAGAAAAGGCTTTCTGGGTTGAGGGGATCCTTTGGGGTCTCAGGCTGGGCTTGGAGGAAGGGGGGTTCTCCCATAGGAGGGTCTTGATGTGGGCAGGCAGGCTGGGGGGGTGTTCAGGGTCAGGGCTGGATGGGGTCTCTGGGCTCTGGGGGACCGGCCACACCTGCCTACCTGAGAGGGTGCACATCAAAGAGTGGTGGCTGTAGCTCAGCTAGTTCGATGGCTGTGATGCCCAGGGACCAGATGTCACACAGCTCGTTGTATCCTCCTTTCAGGGCCACGGCTGCCACTTCTGGAGCCATCCTGGGGGCAGAGACCCTCAGAGAGCCAGGTGTGACACAAGGAGGAGGGGGAGGGGGCACTCCTTGGTGTGAGGATTGAGGCAAGGAGAGAGACAAAGAGAGAAGGAGAATGGGTGGGGGGAGGGGAGATGAGGCATAGAGAGAGCCAGATGCAAAAAGAAACATAAAGATGGAGAGAAAGAGACAAAGAGAGTGAGAGAGATAGGAACAGAGAGACAGACAGAGCTACACAGTGAGACAGAGAAAAAAGACAGAAATCGACAGATAGGGAGGGACAGGTCAGGATAAAAATCAACACAAACATTGAGAAAAACAGGTGGAAAGGGGCCCAGAGAGACCTAAGTAAATGGAAAACTCAAGAGAGAGACAAAGAGAAGACAGAATGTTCAACAGAGCAAGGCAGAGGCAGGGAGAAGGGGCCAGAAGATTTCCAGAGATCAGGGTAGAAAAGCCACTGCTCCCCACTCTACCCCTAGCTGCCCGCTGGGCACGCCTCACCAGTAGGGTGTCCCGATGAAAGAGAGGCGTCGAGCCAGCGTTGCCCCGATCTGGGCTGAGATACCAAAGTCAGCTGGAGACAGAGAGAAAGACACAGTGA